CCTTCACCCCCCTAATTCATCATACCCACCGACCCATCCCATCCCCCACCCATCATACCCCACCCTCCATCCATCCAATCCCTCACCCATAATACCCCCATCCCATCCATTTTATCCACCACTTATTATATCACCCCCAACTCATCCCATTCCCCACCCATCATACCACAACTCCATCCATCCCATCCCCAACCCATCATACCCTTAACCCATCCAACCCATCCCCCTCCATCCCATCCAACCCATCCCCGACCCACCTATTACATCATCCCATCCCCACCTTCATCCACCCCCACAACCCCCCCCCTAATTCCTCATCTCCCCAACCCATCATACCCCATCCTTCATCCATTGTACCCCCACCCATCCATCGTACCCCCACCCATCCCCACCTTCATCCCTCCATCCCCCATCCATCATACCCTCACCCCATCCATCCAATCCCCCCATCCCTACCTTCATCCATCCTCCATCCTATTACCCAATACCCACCTTCATCCACCCCATCCCTCACCTATCATGCCCCTATCCCATCCATCCCCACATTCATCCCCCACCCCTGTCCATCACATCACCCCATCCACACTTTCATCCACCCCCCCCCACCACCTTCAATGCATCCCATCCCCTACACATCATACCCCCCACCCATCATACCCCCCACCCATTATACCCCCACCGGTCCATACCCCCACTCATCCCCACCTTCATCCATCTCCCTACCCCATCCCCCCACCCCTACACTGGAACCCAACCCAGCCTCTACCAGCGCCACATGGGAAGCTGCCAGCCTACGTGTATTCAGCATACCTCGACCACCAGACAGGACAAGGTGCTGTCGTCCGGGTGCTGGCCATAAGTCCCAGGCCGGTCACCCGCTATATGTGTCAGGTCTGGTGCCGAGATGACTTGGGGAGGACCACGATGGTCACTGTCCAGTCAACTAACAGAATCATTGTCGGGGGTCATGACCTAAGCCACCAGTGAGTTTTTTTTACGTGATGCTAACTGTCGTGTAAATCGTTGATTACCCATTCAACCTTTACCACATTGTTTATCTATTGAGAAATCTTAATGCGGAATAAATATGTTATACTATAGATAGATAGATAGATAGCTAGATAGATAGATAGATAGATAGATAGATAGATAGATAGACAGATAGATAGATAGATAGATAGACAGTGGACTTACGAGATATTTCGTCCTTTTCCGAGAAGACTAGTTTTCGACGTTACCTACGACGAGCTTAACAACAGCAGAAGAGATTGAGTGGAGGAGATCATATTTTGAGTTTGTTTTCAAACAGAGAACGAGAGAAGATTAAATATAAAAAAGAGGAAAGG